AGGATAAAAAATAAAAAGCATTAATGTCTAACACATGACCCCACTAACCATGTCAAATGGTTCAATGATTTAATTAGCTAAGTCATTGTAGGCAAGTGGTTTGGTACCGTGCAAATAGATCGGATCGGATTTGAATCAGGGTATATTTGAATTCAATTCAATCTGAAGATCCAATCGAATCTCATAAATATTGATTCAAATATGAATCCAATCAATATGTTTCTTTTCTTATGAATGAATCCGATCAATATGTTGGATATCCGATTTTGATACGATCTGATTTAATTTAAAAAATAATAAATTATTAAAAGGAAAAGAAAATATAATAGTTGAAATAAAGAAAAATAAAAAATATAAGTATTTTTTCAACTATTTTCATCATATAAGAAGTTTACAAAAATGCAATATAAATAACATATTTATAAATAAATAATAAATAACTTAATATATTATATATAAATGATATACATAAATAATTGATTTGACCACAATATTAAAAATAATATTCGAACAATATATTTGAACTGCATTTTCTCTTGGTAAATAAGTAATTTTTATTATCTCATAAATTAAATAATAAAAAATAAAATATAGATTTTTTATAAATTTTATAAAAAAAGTTGAGCGTGAATTAATATTATATATTCTTCATATTAAACAAAAATATATTTGGAAAATAAGAATTATAGTTAGTAAAGATAAAAATGGCTAAAATACAAAAACAAACGAATTAATGTATTAATCATAGTCTATTTTCCTGATTAAATAGGTTAATGGTTCAACCGGTAAGGTCATTTGGTTGCTAACTATTATCATCATCATCATTTGATATTGCCACGTGCAACACATATACAATTTTACTAGTATATATATATAACACTTTAAGTTGGGTTGGATTTGGGGTCAAGACAGGGTGACGTGAACAAATACCATTCTCCATTCCCAATCCCCCAAAGTTTTGGCTTTCCCCGAACCTCAATTAATGGTCAAAAAGCCTACCTCAATCAGGGCGGGGTGGAGTATATCTCAATAGGGACAGGCCAAATTACCATCCCTAGACCATGTGATGAACATAACTCATTGGAGAACTATCTTAATTTTCTTAATTTTTCGAACCAATATATGACAAGTACTTTTTTTGTAATTGCATATGTTTCCCTTTCCATTAATATTAATCATGTCTATCAGGTATTGCCAAACTTAGAACTTTACCAAATGCATCTAATGAAGTAAGCAAAGGAAGAAATGTAAATCTAATATGGACAAAGATAAATAATTAATTTATATAAATAAATTTTAACAATTTATTATGTTTAATAAATATTCCATATTTTAGTGATATATTTTGTTTGTGTCATTAATGTGAAATTAATTCTATTAATTTACTAAATAATAAATTAAAAATTTCACTTAATGGAATGAATTTTTCAACTACATTAATTGTTTTATTTAACTATGTCTTTTTACTTAACTAAATAAGTAAATCACTTAACTATACCTATTATTTAACTATGCCTAAGTTAAATAGAATTAATAAATTTAGTTTATGTAATTGACCCATTCGAATTAATCAATTTAAATTAATTACATACCTAAATTGAATTAATTTACCCACATTTATATTATATAAATTAATTAACTCAATGAAGGACACCAAACTTAATTATACATTAATTAACTAATTCCCTTAAGTGAATGAATTATTTAACAATATTAATTAATTTGGGCTTCTAAAAACTAATTAGTTACAAATCGTGTTAACAAAATCACTATAGCTACATTAATGTATTAATTATACTACACTAATGTATTTGGCTTTTATGGTCATATTATGAATTAATGAAGTTTAGGACAAATTAACTGATGTAGTCTAACTTAATATTTTTTTTTTGAATTATTACTAGCGGGGATCCATGTATGTGCGAGCATTGTTAAGAAAAAGCTAAACAATAGAAACATATAAGAGTAGACAATTGTTTTATATTTTAACTTTTTAAATAATTAATAATTAGTTATTTTATATATAATTTTTAATAATTTTTACAATACAAAAATAACAATAGTTAATTTCAGCTAGGGTTGTTCATCAAACCAATGAAACCGACCAAATTGACCAACCCATCCCAGCTCAACTTGAGTTTGTTTGTTTTCTAGTACTTCTGGTGGATACCGGTTCAACAATTTCCCAACTTGACCAGGTTGGGTCAGTTTTGGTTCGGCTATTTGTAAATCAACCAAAACCACTATAGTTTTATATGGGAAAGTGGGAAAATTCCCATATTTCTTAATCTAAAACATTTTATATTATAAATTTAAGGTTTTTAATTTATTTTTTAATAAATACTACTATAGTTTTTAAATTTAATTTTTTTCAGTTTAAATCTTTTAAACCTACTGACCAAACCAAAACTTGATCCAAACCAATATGACCCGACTAAGCTGGTTTCCACAGATGGTCGATTGATTTTAGGTGACCAATTCCCCAACCCAACTAGGTAAATTTGATTGGCCAAACAACCTACAACTGAACCAAACCAACTCGTGAACACTCCTAATTTCAACTAAACTAATAGTCTAATCTCTAATAAATAACAATACAAAATTAGATTTATACATAATTATTGAAAATATATTTATCACAAAATACAATAAACAATTACTAAAAATATAATAAATATAAACTTTAGTATGTATAAATATATAATAAATATAGATTCAGATTTTGATAGTATTATTGATAAATATCAAGTTTTCTAAAAGTTATTTCCTAGAATTATTAATTGATATAATGTTTTTATTATTAGTACATTAATAATTGCAATTATTATTCTAATTTTTTAATATCTATTGAAAACGTTTTTTTAAGTTATATTATCTATTTATGTTATTTGAAAGCTTCAATACCTCTAAATTATTTAATCTATTTTTTATTATTTCAATAATATTTAAACCTTTATCAATTATTTATATTTTATATTCATATAATTTTTTTGTGTTTTTTATCATTTTATGGTTATTACCTAATTTAGTTATTTAATCTATTTTATTTTTTTAAATAAACTTATTTATTAAATTTTTTGATATTTAAAATATTTAAAAATTAGTTATTTACAATATTATTTAGTTATTTAAATAGTATCATTAGTTAATTAGTTAAATATTATTTACTGAATTTCATAATCCGTAAAATTATAATTTATACTAATAATTACATAATTTCATTATTAATTTTGTAAAATATAAAATTATTATTAATTCAAACATTATAAAATCTATTATAATGAATTTTCTACTTTTAATAATATTTATAAATTTATTACATAATTTCATTATTTTACCTATTTAAAACTTAGTTATGTTATATATTTTGTTATTTAAAATATTTAATTATTTAAATATTTTAAAATTATTACATAATTTTATTATAATATCATATAATTCTCAATTCTTTTAATTCAAACTTTCTTTAGATAGATATAGATGAAAAGTGGGGGAGATGATGAATAGGAATTAGAGATAATTTAAGAAAGAAAATCTCTAATAAATTAGAGATAATTTGTGAAATAAATAGAAATTATAGATAATTTAGGAGGAAGTGGGGGATAGAGGTGCCACTTTACTAGAATACATTAGATTTTGGTAAAAAGAGATTTTAGGAATAATTTTAGGAAGGAACATCCAATGGAATAAACAGAGAAAAGAGGGCCAAACTGAGCATGTTGAGATGTCAAAATGAGAGGGGGAAATGAGACTGATGAGGTGGCTTCTTAAGAGAGCAAAAAGGCTATGACAAAGAGGGGTCGAGAGGTTTTATTAAATGGTGGGGTGATCGTCGTAGGTTAACCATAACGGGTCATTTAAGACCTGTTTTGTAGTAATAGTCTAACTATTTAAATAACTCAAACCTAACAAATGGGTTTGAGTTATAGGTGGTTGTAGAGGGCCTTATCAACAGCTGATAACTGCATATTCATGGGTAACCAGGAGTCAACAACTCACCAAAGGCGAACGTCCATTCATAAACCTTTCAAACCACCAATTTCCCACAAAGTTCACAGGCCTGAAATCTTCAACCCAAATGGTCTCTCTCTCTCTCTCATCCCCATAGGGGCGCAGCCACCAGCTCTCTCTCCCCCCTCCCTCCTCCTTCCTTTCCTTTCCATCCATTAAAACACTAACCCCAGTCCTATTTTCTCATGGTTTGCTCCTTGTAAAAACTCATAAATCTCTATAAATTTTTTATTATTCTTATGTGTGCTTCTAGTAAAGTTTAATCAAAATTGATTTCTCCCCATAATTTTGATCTTTGTTTTGCTCGTTGAACAGAAATAAAATAGAACAATACTGATCTTAATTGGCTAAACAAAAACAATATAGATAATACCTGGAAAGCTCAATGATTTATGAAATAGATGCCAATGGGAGGCCTAGGTGGGTAGGGGAAGGGGAGAAAAGAGAGTGAATGAGTGAACTGAGAAGGGGTAAAGGAGAAGGGAGAGAAGCTTAAGGAGAGACGAGAGAAGGGAGAATGGGAGAAGGAGAGAGCTGCTGACATGGACTTAACTGCTATAAAATATAGCAATAGATATATTCTTAGATGATTTATAATAGTTCATTAGGTCCGTAAGAACCATAATGTCTTGGTTTTTAATCCAAAGAAAAATTCAAGCTCAAAACCTGAAATCTAGGTTACTCTAGTGGCTAAAACCCCTAAATTCTTCCGTTTCTATGTTTCAGGAGCACTCTTCTAAGAGTAGAAAACAAGTTTGTGTTATCCTTTAGATGCATAAACCCAACATAGATACCCCTAAAATAATTCCCTTTTTATGCATGTGCATTTTGTTAAGTAGTTTGATTGATAAAAATTACAAGGAGACATATGTTGTCCATCTGAACAAAAGGCAAAAAGAAAGTAATTCGAGAGAACACCATCAACTTTAATAAAAGAAGCTCACCGGCATTACAAGTTGTTGAGCACTTGAGCTCCATTGTAGTATTTCAAATGGTTTTCATTAACTATAATCCAGTAGAAGTACAAGAAGCATAACAAATTGTCATATCTTTTAATGAAACCAGTGGTCTTTGAGTTTGCACGCCAATATAATAAGAAGACCGCATTTTGAAACACAATAGAATATTGGACGGAGCAACCACCTTACTCGGTGAATACTGAATTATAACTTTGTAACAATACAAATAGAGTATAATCATTTGAGGGACAATAATTGATATTGTTCTAGTTCCTAAACGTTGTCCCCGTGTTATTATCATTCTTCTTCCGCCAGCTTCACGATCTTCTCCCATAAACTATCAAGAAATTTCAAAGTGAAAATTTGTTTACTCCCATATAAAGTAATCCAGTTTCATCAGTCATCACTGGAATTAGTGGTCACTATACAAAAGTGGCATCTAGGATTCTCGTTCAATCCAAACTTTCTGTATGTAATGTAACCATAATTTCTGGAGTTCAGCGTATGTGACGAAGAGCATGTCTGTGTCAGAATTATAAAAGGAAGAAAGAACCCTAGCAAGGGATTTACCATAGAGAAAGAAGGAAATAAGGAGGAAATGGGAATGTCAGGGAAAAATTGGTACCTTACAAGGCCAATTGTCGCGGTAGAAATGGCAGACAACGCGCTCGCTGGCCTTGACAACAGCAAAGAAATCCTTCTCGGAGGGAATCTCGGAATAGTCACCGTGGCCAAGGGAGATCCAACGGCTCCTCTTCTCTGCCATTTTCTTCATTTGTTGTAGCCTCCGCTCTCTCAGAGCCTCGAGATCATCGAGGTCGAGACGATCTAAGGCGGAAATTTCTTCGTCGAGTTTGTCCTCCACGGCCTTGGCGACCGTCAATACTTGCTTCTCCAGAATCTATGAATTATACAGAGGGGGAGATGGAACAAAAGAAATTAGCAATGAGACACCGAAATCATGAGAAAAACGCCAGAAAGGGACAAGATTAATAGAGCATGAAAATCCTTGTCGCTAACCTCTTGAACTTTTGGATTGTCCATTGATTGATCCTAGAAGATTTTCCTCACAGTCACAGAAGATGTAGAAGAGGGAAAAGAGATTTTTGAAAGGTTTGACAGAGATTAATGTTCCACAAATTTGGAGGTAAAACGGATAACTTTCAGGTTTCAGCCAGCTCGAGCCCCAAACCAGATATTAATTTAGAGGTGTAAATCGGGCGGTCCGTGTCGGGCCTTGCTTGCCCTCCTCTGGAATACTTGAGAGCTCAGGCCCGGCACGGCCCATGGCACGAGCCCAGGCGGGCGTTAACTGGGCCGTGCCGTGGTGTTACGGTTCAGCACAGGCTTAGCCTTGCCTACGCTTGGCAGGTTTACGTTAGGGACATGTCCGTCATTTTCGCCTGTAAGATTTTTGGGAGAACTGATGTCATCTTCAGGCAGACCACCAGAAGCTTAACGTACTCTTTGAGGAGGGGTGGTCGACCTCCTTGGGTGCCTAACCTTG